CACAGGTTGAATTTTTTTTACAACCATCTTCTATTTCAAAATTATCAAATATGAAAAGAAGTTTGTTATTTTTAGAGTAGGGTTTCAATAGAGAGTTGCCAGAAGAAGAGTATTTCATTCCCCTTCATTTTGAAAGGAATTGCTCAGCAAGCTAGCACATGTCTTGTTATGCTCCAAAAGAGTCAGGGGCTTTCCAAAATAAATTATCTTCTGCACGTGAGATAAGACGACGGCTTTCTCTTATTTGTCCTCTGTTTTAATTTATCACCACAATATATCAAACGCTGGGTGAGCTGAACATGTATCACTAAGAGAAATTGTGGTGAAAAGTCAGGGACTGACCTTTTATTTTTCATAATAACCCAAATGTAATAAAAGCTCCATGTAAAATAAGCCTGCAAGGAGAGATTATCTGCAGTAGCATATGTTCAGTGTTAGAAATTAGAAATCAATTGCAAAACACAGTGGGAGTGTGTCATTATGAGAAATGACAACTCAAAAAAAAAAGGAAAGAAATGACAGCTCAGCATAGTCCTGGGTTAAAATAAAAATCCCTTCTGCTGTCCTACCTGGCTGTTGGAACATGCCTTGTTTTTGAGATGGTAAAAAAGAAAAGGTCCAGCATCACATTTGACTCTGAACGTAGATAGATCCAGCATGGGCTCCCTGGGTAGTGCTATGGTAAAGAACCTGCCTGTCAATGCAGGAGACATAAGAGATGTGGGTTCGATCCCTGGGTCAAGAAGATCACCCTGGAGGAGGGCATGGCTGCACATTCCAGTGTTCTTGGCTGTAGAATTCCATGGACAGAGGAGCCTGATGGGCTACATGGGGTTGCTAAGAGTCAGACTGAAGCGACTTAGCATGCATGCTCAGTTGGATAAGTAGCAGGAGAGGCCCATACAAAGGGCTGCAGGAATCTAGAGGAAGGAGTAACTGGCTTTGTCTGGACAAGTTCAGCAAAGCATCATAGACATAGCGACACTTTAGGACGCCTCTCAGATGTAAGCAGGATTATATGCAGGAAACCATGGGAGGAGCCAGAGGCATTGCTGGTTGGGTCAGTCCTGTGTGGGGCATCAGACGCTTGATCTTCACATGGTATGCTTAGGGTCTCTGCTCCGTAGAGCTGTTTTGGTGGAGGGAGGTAACAGCAGCCAGGGCTGAAAGGTTAGGTAGGGCTCAGTGTGTGACAGGACTGAGTGCCATCCCTAAGTCTGGGGCCTCCATCCTGCTCATCTTTTGACCCCTGTCCTGATTGGCATCATGGGGGGTAACATTAAAAATATTGAACAAGCAGTATGGCGTAGATCAGACTGGTCAGAAGGAGGGGAGACCTGAGTCCCTCTTCTGTGTCAGACCTTTCATTGTTGGATGTGGTGTCTGCAGCGTCCCCAGGGCTGCAGACAGAGCATCAGGGAGGGAGCTAGGACCACAACCATTCACCAAACAGGTTGGAAGTATTTGTACTGTTTCAACTGCCAGTGCAGCTGATGCAATGCCCTGCCACCAGACAGTTCCTGAAACAACTGGGAATTGCCCTTTCATTTCTCATCTCCTCCTTGCCCCTGGGACAAGGATGAGTTCATTCCTTAAAGATGTCTTCAGTTGATCACCCTCTCCTCTCCCCACTGCAATGTTAATGCTCTAAAAAGCAAAACTGATCAATTCCTCTGCCCTGATTAAAACTTTTAAGGGGATGACGTCCAGTGTCCTTTACCCCTGCCTGCCTGACACTCGTGGTCTGACCCCTGTTGTCTTTTTCACCTCACTCCCCATCATCCCCTGGGAACTTACACCCTGGTGCCCTGGCCTACCTGTGGCAGCTGGGAAGGCCCTCCAGACTAGTCCTTCATATTGCATGTGGTAGGTGCTTCTGTTGATAGATTAGCGTGGCATGCCTTCTTAGAAATGCAGTTGGATTTTTGTTTGTTTGTTTAGGTAACAGCTTTGAATCAACTCCATTTCCTCAGTAAGGCAGAAGCCCTTAACATTGATAGACACTTCAGATAGTGACTGTAATCAGCTGTTGAGAGTAGATGAATAAATGAATGAAAATTTTCATGTGCATTCAGGGGAGAATTTGCTACTGGGATCTTTGCATCCATGTATTTAGTTTTAAGTAGCATCAGTGGCTTATCTCAACACAAGCAGTGTTTTCATGCACCATTTGTAAATAACATGGTAAGTATAAAAGGATTTTGTAGAGGACCAAGCAGTATGCTCAACTGAGTTGACAAGAATATGGACTCTGCCCCTATGGACCTTATGGTGAGGGAGCTCCCTAGTGAGGGAGCCAGACAAGAAGTAAGTAAACTTTGTCCTTCTTTGCTTTCCACCTGCCACTCTCATCTCTTACCTGGACCAGAGCAGTCAGCTCCATGCTTGTCTCCCTGCAGCATGCAAGTCCTTAAACCCACTCTTCACGACATCGAAAGAGAATTTTTAAATATCTCAAGCAGGGCTTGTCTCTATCCTATTTAAGCCCATTCTTGACTCACATCACAGTTAGGCTAAAAATCCTAATTTCTTTCCATGGTCTCCAAGATCAAGTTTCATAGGGCTTCTGCCTACCCCTCCAGCCATGACTCAGGTCACCCTGATACAGTGGCCCTCTATTCCCCACTGTACCCCGAGATGTCCACCAGGTCCAGCCACAAGAGGAACCTCCAGTTCCTTGAACCCCCAAACTCCCCCTTTTCCTTTGTTGCTGCTGCTGTCTGGCTCCCTCCATGGCTGGCTACGTCTCATTCTTCAGATCTTCCTGATGTCAGTCCCTTCCACTCCCACTACTGTTATTCTTTGTTTTTAACTTTCAATTTTATATTGGAGTATAGTTGATCAACAATTAGTTTTATTAGTTTTATGTGTACAGCAAAGGTATTCAGTTACACATATACATGTATCTATACTTTTTCAAATTCTTTCCCCATTTAGGTTGTTACATAATATTTAGCAGAGTTCCCTGTGCTATACCATAGTTCCTTGTTGGTTATCCATTTTAAATGTACATATTAAGCCCAAACTCCCTAACTATCCCTCCTCCCACTTTCTTCTCCTCTGGTAACTCTTAAGTTCATTCTCCAAGTCTGTGAGTCTGTTTCTGGTTTGTAAATAAGTTCGTTTGTATCCCTTTTTTTTCCCCCCAAAATTTCTCATATAAGCAGTATCATGAAGTATCTGCTAGCTCTCCCTAGCACTTAACACAATTTGCATTTATCTCTAAGTTTGTTGGAGAGAAAAGTTGTCTGAAATTAAAGCCTTTCTTTGTAGTTTAGAACTGAGAGGAGAGGCCTAGGTCTTGAGATTTGCCATGTAGGCCTCCTTTCTTCTGATTCCAAAGGGGCGCCTAATTCAGTTACTTAGGTATAGCTCCCAAGTCACCTGTGACCAGCAAAAGCATTCTCTCTGCCAATTCTGGTCAAAATGAATATTTCCGAAAAATAGGTTGTGCTCCATTGTAAAGAAAACATTTTGAAAATCAGGATACACTAACAGGGGCTTCCCTGATAGCTCAGTGGGTAAAGAATCCACCTGCAGTGCAGGAGACCCAGATTCAATCCCTGGGTCAGCAAGATCCCTTGGAGAAGGGATAGGCTAACCACTCCAGTATACTTGGGCTTCCCTGGTGGCTCAGATGGTAAAGAATCCACCTGCAATGCAGGAGATCTGGGTTCAATCCCTGGGTTGGGAAGATCCCCTGGAGGAGGGCATGGCAATCCACTCCAGTGTTCTTGCCTGGAAAATCCCCATGGACAGAGGAACCTGGCGGGCTACAGTCCACGGGGTTTCAAAGAGTTGGATGAACCTAAGCACACAGCCCATACACTAACAGAAGGATGGGTATTGTTAGCCCTACAGACGGTTTGCCAAATCTGAATATATTCAATCATTCAGAATAGACCTCTCTTTATAGACCTAAGATGAAGAGCAACAATGAATAGTAATAAAACAATCAAATGCTGGAAAAGGAGGAGATGGTCAAACCTTAAAGGAATAACTCTGGTTTAGAAACAACATATAGTTTAAAATCTAAGGTATGAGGGAAAGTCTGGCTTTGTGAGTCCTCAAGATACAGGTTTAGAGCAGATGCTATGGGGACACCAGAGGCTGAGCTGCAAGAGTTCTGAGGAAAGATGAGGGTGGGAGAGCTGGGGTGGGGGAGAGATGGAAAAGGAGGGAAGGAGCAATAGAAGTCAAGCAGTACTGGATCTTTCAAAGTCTATTCAAGGGTAAGAGTGCATCGGTATCAGTTCAGTCGCTCAGTCATGTCCGACTCTTTGCAACCCCATGAACTTCAGCATGCCAGGCCTCCCTGTTCATCACCAACTCCCAGAGTTTACCCAAACTCATGTCCATCAGGTTCGTGATACCATCCAACCATCTCATCCTCTTTCGTCCCCTTCTCCTCCTGCCCTCAATCTTTCCCAGCATCAGGGTCTTTTCAAATGAGTCAGCTCTTTGCATCAGGTGGCCAAAGTGTTGGAGTTTCAGCTTCAACATCAGTCCCACCAATGAACACTCAGGACTGATCTCCTTTAGGATGGACTGTTTGGATCTTCTTGCAGTCCAAGGGACTCTCAGGAGTGCATGGCATCCCTCATAAGCGGATCCTCGACATGTTGGAGGTTGAGTGCCATTATCTAGTTTGACACTTTGTTGTATGGTTTCGAAGGCAAGGTGATGGAGGGCCTTCTAATTTCACTAGATAGACCATATTTGTCTAGAAAATTATGATTCCATTCCCTGTGATTCCCATTATTCAAAAGCTTCTGGTTTCCTGTTCCAGTTCTCTTAGCAGTAATTTACGGAAGTTATGCCTCTGGCCAACAGAAAATGTTTTCTTTTATTTTTTGATGGGGGGTGATTTTTTTTCTCCTGTGGTGCACATATGTGCCTAGTGGTTTAGGACTGAAGGTTCCAACATCCTCCTTATAAATTCTAAAGCCTTTGAAAGAAAAATTGCAGTCAGTCCTTTCTACTCTGGGTTCTTCCTGCAGCCTGCCACGAGTCCTGTGCCGCCTGCTGGGGTCCCACGGAGAAGCACTGCCTGGCCTGCAGAGACCCCCTCCACGTGCTGAGAGAGGGCGGCTGTGAGAGCAGCTGTGGCGACGGGTTTTACAACAAGCAGGGGATTTGCAGTGGTAAGTGCCCCGCTTTGCAGGCCAAAGCGGTTTTTGCTCTTCCAGCATCCCTTGTTTCATTCAAATCATAGCACCAAAAATCATCTCTTCTTCTACTTAACAAATATGCAAACGATGCTAGGTTTGGTTTCCCCGTGGGGCTTCCCAGGTGGCTTGGTGGTAAAGAATCTGCCTGCCAATGCAGGAGACACAGGAGATGTTGGGAAGATTCCCTGGAGAAAGAAATGTCAACCCACTTCAGTATTCTTGCCTGGAGAATCCCATGGACAGAGGAGCCTGGTGGGCTACAGATCATGGAATCGCAGAGTCAGCCGTGGCTGAGCACACACGCAGCATGCTAGAATTGGCAGTGTTTTAGTAGTTTGTGGAACATGTTTTTTCCCAGTGACAGAATCCCCTTTAATACCTTTGTCCCCCAGTTGTTTGTTAGGTTGGGTGCTCTCTGTAACCTTGTCCTGCATGCACATGAGGAACATGAGGCTCAGGCCGCTTGCTTCAGACCCACAGCTGGAGGGAGAGGAGCCCAGCTTCCAAATATGCATGGGGACCAAGGCACTCCTTGGGACTCCCAGGCCAGCCAAGGGCCACCCTGCTTTTGGTGTTGGTGCCCCTGAATTGAAACTGAGGCAGTTATTGTTTATTCAACCTTCAAGACGACTGCAGACAATAAGAGTTAACTCAACTTCATGTTCCTTATGCAGAGCACTGTCCCACATGCTAAACATTAACCCACTGAGAGGCAGGAACATGTGGGGAGAAAAAGCATGACCTGGGACAAGTTACTTAATCTCTTCCTGTGTCAATTTCCCATTTGTTAAATGGCGACAATAATCCTACCTGTGGGAGACAGAATGGCTCCTCAAAGATGCCCCTGTCCTGATCAGTCGCATGTGTGAATATTCTGCCTCAGGTGGCAAAAGAGACTTTGTAGGTATGATTAAGGTAAGGATCTTGAGATGGGGTGGTTACCCTGGGTTATCTAAATGAGCCAGTGTAATCACAAGGGTCCTAACAGGGAGGCAGGAGGATCAGAGTCAGAAAAGCAGACCTGAAACCGAAGCAGACTTTGGGAGCGATCCTGGGAAGGGGCCATGAGCATGCAGGCAGCCTATAGAACCTGGAAAGAGACAAGATATAAACAAAGAAATGGATTCTCCCACCCAGAGCTTCCAGGAGGAATGCAGTCCTGCTAATGCCTTGATTTTAGGACTTCTGATCTCTTATGTGGTATGATAATAAATGTGTGTTGCTTTCAGCCACGTCTGTGGTCATTTGTTACCGCAGCAATGAGAAGCCAGCACACACCTAACTCAGAAGGCCATGCCAGGACCGAATTAATGTAGGTGAGGCATTTAACACAGCGCCTGGTACGGAATAAGTGCTTTGTGTTTAGTGTTTCATCCTCACAGCAATTTTGTGAGGTAGTTATCATCATCCTCTGTTTTCAGATGAAGAAGCAGAAAGACTAAAAAACTTGCCTAAGGTCACAGAGCTAATGAGTTGGGATTCATGCTGGGTCTTCTGGGTTTAGACCTTAACTGCCTCATAATTGCTCTGGTGCTGCTATAAGATGACCCCTCCTTGGGCACCTCTGCCTGTTTCCCATCCCCTTTCCTTCTCTCCCTTGACCCTCTTCTCCTCCTTCCTCCTTGTCTTCCTGTGTGTGTGTACGCACGTACTCAAGTCACGTCTCACTCTTTGTGACCCCATGGACTGTAGCCCACCAGGCTCCTCTGTCCATGGGCATTCTCCAGGCAAGAATACTGGAGTGGGTTGCCTTTCCCTTCTTCAGGGGATCTTCCCGACCCAGGGATCAAACCTGCGCCTCTTGCATCTCTGTCAGTCTTTAGATCATCCAGCTATCCCTGTGGGCACCTGATGGTGAATGAAAGTTTTGAATCAAGTTTATTGTGATGGTCAGTATTGAAAAGTCAGATGGCATTTAAAAAAATTAATTTATTTATTTTAATTGGAGGCTTATTACTTTACAGTATTGTAGTGGTTTTTGCCATACACTGACATGAATCAGCCATGGGTATACATGTGTTCCCCATCCTGAACCCCCCTCCCACCTCCCTCCCCATCCCATCCCTCAGGGTCATCCCAGTGCACCAGCCCTGAGTACCCTGTATCATGCATTTTTTTTTTTTATAACTAAGTCCACTAAATTAAAAAAAAAAAAGTGCAGTGCATAAAACTTTCTCAAGTTACTATGCTCATTTTGTTTACTGAGCAGGACAACAGCAGAAATGAGATGATCTCTGAGACTTGACAAATGCACTTGTCTCAGAGAGGAGAGATAGCTCTTGGCCGCTGCTTGCTTAAAGCTGTGCAGGGATCCATCAGTATCTCTGGTGTGAGAAACCTCACTCGATTTGGACAAGTCACAGGTGGCTTTTGTGTGGATTCAGGAGAGAATGAGGAAAGAAAAGCAGGTTGCCATTACCCTGAGCGTTTTAATCTTTTTCTGCCAGCATCATTCCCCTGCTCAATTAAGCCAGATGTATTCTCCTAAGGTCAGCAGATGTCAAATTTGCACTAATTCAAAGGCCTGGAGGCATCTACGCTTTAATTCCCCGAGGAAGCTGGCTACTGTCACTGTCGAGAGGGGTGACACAGACCTGCTACCGAGTTGATGTTATCTGGATTGAGAAAGCAACTTTTGCTAGGCATGTGTGTGTGTGAAAGGAGTGATACACAGTTAGTGTGAGCCTGAGGCAGTGAGGGGTGGGAGTCTTCTTGGGCTAAGAGGTTGAGCGAAGAAAACCAGACCTCCTTGCAGACTGGAAGAATTTAAAAGAAGACAGCTGAACAGGTGGCTTTGGGAGAAAGTATACATCTGAAATGCTATCTGTCTACATTTTGAAACAAAGCAGAAAGAGAACTTTCAAACACAAGGATGGATGATTGCTGACCAGTCAACTGACCATTGGTTAATTAGTAATGCCTGCCATGTGCTTAGCAGATACAAGACTTTGTGATGCCATTGGCATTGACCAATGGCCCTTTTGATGGACGAAGCTGGAGTTTACACTCCTCATAAAATTGTTCAAGTTCTCTAGGTCTGTGTCCAATGCCTTCAGAAAGGTTTGTATAAATATTTTCTAAAGCAATGGTGAGCCAAGTCACTGACTGCTATCGGAATGTTAATTAAGACGTCTGATGGTGATAAGCCGACTTACTTTCAATTCAGATTAGTGCTATTTGAGATAAAGCCCGGCTGGTGTTGGTTTAATAATTTATAACCCAAGCAACCCATATCTGTAGAAATCTCAAGTTGAGTGCTGAGAAAAATCCAGCACAACCTGTTATAAATGGTGCTGTGCAATGTCTGAAAGAATTTACAATGACCAAGTTTGTCTGGGGTACACGCTTTGAGTTTTACAAATATTAGGTATAAAGGGTGGGGAAATTCGAAGGACAAAACCTCCTCCTTGTTTAGTCATGTAAGTACCTGTGCTGTTTTGAAGGGCTTTTCTGGTTCTGGCTAACACATAAATCAAAGTAGAGTCAGAGGTTTCTGTTAGACATTCTCTCTTCCTTCCGCCTCTCTTTTTCTTCTCTTTCCTTCCTTCCTTTTTTCCTTCCTTCCTTCCTTCCTGATTTCCCTTCGTTACCTGGGCAACTATTTTAAATTTTTTATCCTTGTGTTTTTATGGGCTCATGTCAAATGAGTTTTGTTTTCAGTGAGTATAAGTATATGTATGTTTTTCTTAAATGATACCATGTTTTTTAAATTAATTTGTTTTATTTGGAAAATAATTACAATATTGTGATGGTTCTTGCCATATATCAACATAAGTCGGCTACCGGTAATACACATGCCTCCCTCATCCTGAGCCCCCCTCCCACCTTCCTCCCCACCCCATCCCTCTGGGCTGTCCCAGAGCACCGGCTTTGGGTGCCATGCTTAATGCATCCAACTTGCACTGGTCATCTATTTTACATATGGTAATGTTCATGTTGAAATGCCATTCTCTATATGTATATGTATATTTTTCTTAAAAGATACCATGTGATAGAGTTCATACCGGTTTGCAGAGTTCATGTTGTCCTATTTTCACTCGGCAGTATGTCTTTCAGATTTACCCATGTTGCTATAGTATCTAGGCCTTTGCTTCTCACTGCTGTGTGGTCCTTCCTGTCCTGCATTCCCACTCTTCCAGGGACAGACTCCCCACATCTGTCCATCTGCATGCCATCACTAGGGAACACCAGTGAGCAACCTCCAACATGTCCTTCGATGAGCCTGCGGGGGTGGGAGGAAGATTCCCTAGGATTGATGGATAACCCCAGAACAGAATTACTGGTTTCTTTTTTTAATTTTAATTTATTCTTTATGTGTTGACTCTGCATTTTCTTTATGGGACTAAGTAGTGCCAGGTAGATCACCAGCATCTATACTCCCAAGCATCAGGGCTGTCTCATCTTCACATCCTGGCCATGACTTGACATTATCAAACTTCAGATTTTTTCCTGGTCACTAGGTATACAGGGGCATTCTGTTTTAATTTGCTTAATTCTGATTATTAATAAGTTTGAGATTATCTTCAACTCCTGTTGGACTTTTGTGTTTCCTCTTTGATAAACTGCTTTTTAATGTGCCTTTCCCATTGTTTCACTGGCCATGCTTCCTTTTCATTGTTGATTTTATGGAGTTCTTTGCACCTTAGATACTAATTCTGTCAGCCTTAAATATGCAAACATTTCCCCATTTTGTTGCTTTTTAACCTTTAATGTGGTGCCCTTCACTGAACAAAAATATGTAATTCATTATTTTTTAATCTAATATTTTGCTTTTGAAATTTTAAGATAAAGATCTACCCTGCTCAAGTTCACAAAGAAATTGTACTACAATTAATAGAAGAAATTCTAGTAATTTCAGTTTAAATTTTATGTAGGCTGATCCATCTAGAGTGATCCATCTCACTTCTGTGAGATGCAGTTTGATTTTTCTCCATTTCATGATCCAGTTTTCCCAGCATTCAATCTAACTTTCT